CTATTAAGCTCATGTTTTTTTTTTGTTGTTTTTTTTTTTTTTTTTTTTTGTGTGTTTTTAAATCACTTGTGGTATCTGAAATATGTTCTTCAGCATGTTGAACACTTTTAAATAGTGTGAAACTTCATAGAATGCTGACACAAGATCAAAACGGAAAGATCTACATGCAAATTTTGAAAATGAATGTATCAACAAAAACCTTACCACTTCAATAGAAACATTAGGTCTCCACATGAATCAGTTGCACTCCGAAGATGGATCTTCTCCTGGCTCAAGGTCCTCTCTCAAAGCCCCGAGCACACTAGAATGTCATCCTGAAAGACAAGAAAGTGAACATATGGTTTTAGCCATATGAATTAGTAAAATATCTTTGGTATTCATTAATGACCGTGGTGGGAACTAATTATGTAGACATGTGCACAGGAATCAGTTGAGTAGGCTGGTTCCTTTCAATGTGGCCCAGGACACATTTGTGTGTAGTCACAGCTGCAAGATAGAATAGTGCCAAATGTGGCGCAACAGACCACCTCTGGCCAGTGTGTTCAGACATGGAAAGACATTACACACTGGGTCTGAGTAATCAGCTTCACACCTAGCCTTAAAATGCATCTCCAAAGTGTTTGAGTGTCACTTATGATCGGGATCCTGACTTCCTTATCTACTAATAGAACCATGTGTGGCGTTGTTGTTTTTAAGCCAGTCCGATGGGTCATTAGGTTAGTGTGCTTGAAAGTGGGGATGGGCTGAACAAATCTGCTTTGGCGCACACAAAACTCTGTCTAAGTATGAGAACCCTTACCTGTATTAAATTTACCATATACACCAATGACTTTTTTAAATCAAGAGTGTAACTATTGTTTCTCCGACCAATAGTGGAAAACGTTCTGGAGTTCCCACATGTGCAGCACAAAGCTTGAAACAACGTGTTAATCTCACACACATGCAAATAATCCGCAATAATTGCAAAGACTTCTATGGTGGTTATATTTATTTTGTATAATTTTGGTTTTGAAATAGATTATTTTTGAAATTTGAAACACACCAACATATTATGTAACAGAGTCTTTTTTCTTTTTGGGATTTACTTGCCAACCACACCGCTCTCTATCAATGCATTCCGATGGCTCTATCTTCTTCGAGCTAGTCTCGAGTCTATATGAGGCGTCCAACACGCCGGGGCCCTGCGTTGATTTGGACTGCCCACCGTGCTTTAGGGTTGTGGAGCTTCCACACCACTGCTTTTCTTGTAGGATCTTGCATGACCTCCAGATATAAGCTCAGGGCAAATCAGATTCTTTT